CAGGGCTGAACAGAGAAACCCTGTCTCATACACAAATGCAAACAAACAAAAATCTGCAAAGTAAAATTGTTGTCAAAATACAAATAGGAAAAGGTATTGTCAGTAACACTGTTTGGTCAGGGTACTGTAGGCACCAGTGTGCTTGTTTATACAAGCAGTCTCCACATGTCTACTTGGAGCCTTCCTGCAAGGTTTTAAACTTGTTCTGGACTGTGCTCAGCATGACACTGGTGGAATATTTAGTCTTCTGCCTGTGTGCGTTGTCATTGTCCCTGCTTCTCAAAAGTACATAGAGGGCCGTGTTCAGGCTGCTGCCCTGTAGTGTGTAGTTAAGGTCTGCAGTGTTCAGGGGAGGAGGAGAGCAGAAAGGAAAGGCAATCCAGTGCCTTCTAAGTACACCATGGTATTTAGGGTTGCCTGGCCCCTGAGAAAGCAATAAATGAACAATTCCAGATTAATCAAAGACAAGTATGTATGTTTGGAGCTGTCTTTCCCTCCCTTCCTCCCCTCCCCCATCCCTCCTAACTTTAGACAGGTTCTTGCTATGTAGCTCAGGCTAACCTTGAACTTGGGACCCACTTGTCTCAGCCTCCCAAGTGCTGAGATTGCAGGCATGTACCACCATGCCTGGTTCAGATTAAGGGCATAATAAGGTCCAGTGTGCCTTTGAAACATGTGTGACTCATTTAGAGACCATGATCTAGTTTTAAAGCGTGGACAGATTCTTTCAGGGAACCATGGGTCAGCTGTTTTCTTTGTGCTGCCCACAAAAGCAGCCAGGTACAGCATGTGGGAGCTGGGTATATCTTGGAGTTTGGGGTATCCAGGCCAGAGTAGGAAAAACATGGTCTTCCAGAAAGCAGATAAAGAGTTCATAGCTGGATGCTGCAAGCTACTGACCTAGCAAATTGAAAGCCCTGCACAGGCCGTCTGCAGGTTTACTGCGCTGCTTTCTACTGTTTACCCAAATAGCATCATGGCAGACAGTGATCTGAGTTGCAGTCCTGTGAGGAGTGCACACATGGAGCTGGGGGTGTGTTGTGCACACACACTCGTGCACTAAGGGCCGTGTAAATCTCACCCACCAGTGTTCTGCGTGTGCTTCTCAGCCAAAGCCACGTCCTTGCTCACACACGCACGTGCACTCTGTCTTTATGGAAAAAGGCTGCTACTGCAGGATAATTTTTTTCCAGAAACAGGTTTTATGATAATATAGTAAAAATATTAAATTAGAAAATGCCTCACTAAGGGTTATAAAACCTTACTACACTAGAGATAGGTAATTATCCCCTCTGCAGCCTAAATGACAGTTTAAAAGAAATAAAAATGTTCGTGCTCATTACTTGCTTTTGTGGGTTGTAATAAAGGGTGAGTTAAATTTTAATTCCAGGAAGAGCCCCTGCCATCGACCCTTCCACCCGGGGTCCAAGTCCTAGTAATTACTCTGTTGCCTGTTCTCCTGTGTAATTCCAGCATTCATATGTGTTCTACAGTGGACATTACCACTGGCCACCCAGAGCAGGGTATAGAAACAAAGAAGAGAAGCGTTTCACATCAGAGACGCTCATCTTTATTCCTGATGGTGATCAGGAGCAGGATTCTGTTTTTGCAACAATAGCTCACCAAGTTCATTGTGCAGAGCCCAACAGGGACCTCAGTCTCAATTCTGCATGTACAGGGAGAAACACACAGGGTTAATCTGCAGCGTTAATCGTGGATCTGTCTGCACAGACAGCTCTGGCTAGGAAGGACACTGCAGGGAAGGCAACAGAGGCCTTGGGGCTGCCTTGTGGCCACTTCAGCAGTCTCATTTCTCGTGTTTTCTTCGAGGTGGGTAAAAGATGTGGGTGTGTTGCCTCTTTTCAGATTTTTCTACCTCTCCCTCCGCTGACAGCAGATCTCACACCTGCTTGAAGGTGGGACTGTTTAAATTTACTGAGAAACCTTTAAATAGGGTTGCCAAGGTGGCTCATGGGGTATAGGCACTTACTGCCAACCCTTACAACCTGAATTCAATACCCTAAACCCACGTGATGGTGGGAGAGAACCAACTCCCACAAGTTGTCCTCTGACCTCCACATGTAACCAGGAATGTGCACCCCCCCTACACACACAAAATCAAACAAAAATACCACCCAAAAATCCGTTAATGGCTATTTAAAATATGCGATGGGGTGCAGAATTTTTTATTCTTTCTGCAGTGCTGAGCTCTGGCTTTGCCAGAGTCACTTATGTGTTCAAAGTCCAGTATAGCTGAAGCCCTGGGTTTTTTTTGGGGTGGGGTATAGAAAGGGTAAGGCAGAGCCCAACAGCTCTGGCCAAGGAGGGGCCTGACCCTGTGGTGCTTTGGGACTGCAGGGAAGGGTTCTGCTGGGTGTCTAGAGCTGAATTGGAAGGGATGGAAAGACAGGGGTCATTCTGTATCCTTGGTAAGAGATCGTTTCATCTGAAGCAGCCAAGGGCAGTGGGTGAAGTTTTGCAAAGTCCATTCGAAGGACAGTGATTGCTCTCAGCCTAGGCCAGCAGGGCGAGGCTGAGAGGGAGTAAAAGAGTAAAAGACCACTGTGCCTGTTTCTCTCCTCAGCCATCGTCGCCTTGAAGTCATGCTGTCCTTTTTGTCATTCAGCTCTCTCCTTGGTGTTTAATTCTCTTGGTTGAAATGGCTAGAGAGGCTTGTGTGTGGGCAGATATTCAGGCCACAGTACAAGGACTGAAGGCTGGATAAGGCTGCTGGGAATCTGCAGGGGCAGCACGCGGGTGCTTGTTCGCATTTGAGGTGAGGCCTTTCACCTTTGTACGGTTGGACAGATGCCTAGAGCTAGAGAGCAGCAGGAGTGTGTGGGGCTCAGGTCTGGTTGGCACTTTAGGATGAGGCTTCCAGCAAATTCTTGTGACTATAAAATGCCTGTGATAGAGTTGGGGACCCTCTGTCATTTTCTGTCCACAGTTTCTCTGCCTGTTGAGTGGTCCCCTCATGACAGAGCTGGTCTACATCTGGCTTCTCCTTTCAGGTTTTTTCTCCCTCCTCCACACTGATAAGTTCTAACTGCTGGGGTTTCCATGTAAGTGTCTCTTACAGCAAGTGCTGAAAAGCTGAGCTGGCATCATGGTACACGCCTGTAATCCCAGCACTGGTGGCAGAGGAGACGGGCCACAAACTAGAGCCAGACAGAACCGTATTAGACAGACCAAGAACAGTTGCAAAGATGGCTTCTATTGCATCAGACAACAAAAACCATTTTCTTAACATGACGGCAGGCTGTTGAGGGCTAGATCTGAAGGTGTCAGTCTGGTGTGGTTTTCCCCTGTCTGGCTGCTCTGTTTCTGGGCAGTCACTGTTCTGTGGACAAAAGCAGATATGGACCCTTGCCTCAGTTAGGTGTGACCCCTAGGGCTGCCTCCTGGGTCTCAGGAGCTCACATCTTGTGGGTCTGGCCCGTTGGGGCTGTGAGCCTCCTCCTGCAGGGCAGCTCTCTCCCCATGCACAGAGGAAAGTGCTCCACAAGGCTCCCACCCAACTTGCACGCTGCCATTTCCCTGCTGACCCAGGTGTGGTGCATATAACAACAATAGAAGTTGCAATGGTCGTTTGCTCTTTTTTTAAAGGTTTATTTTGAACTTTATGTGTATGTGAGTTTTTATGTTTGTCTGAGGAGGGCATCAGGTTGCCTGGAGCTGGAATTACAGGTAATAGTTAGCTGCCTGACATGGTACAGGGAAACAACACTGATCTTTTGAAGAGCAGCAAGTGCTCTTAACCTCCGAGTCATCTCTCCAGCCCCAGCACCATATTTTTAATGTGTAGATTCAGCTTTACAGTTGGGCGTAGCAGCACATACCTGTGATCCCAGCACTTGAAGGGCAGAGGCACTAGGACCCTGTCTCAGAACTGTAATGGGCTAAGGCATGGCCCAGTTGGTAAAACACCTTCCGTATAAATGAGGACCTGTGTTTGATCTCAGCACCCACATAAGAAGCCAGCATGGGGAGGTGAGACAGGGGGATCCCTAGAGCATATTGCCCAGTCAGCCACAGGCCAGAGAAGGAAGCCCTGTCTCAGCACACAGCCGGACACTCCTAAAGAAAGTCTCTAGCACACCCACACACGTGCACACACAGGCAGCTGGTTTTATTTTGTTGGTATGTATCATATACATGTGCACATGTATGTATTCAGGCCCTTACAGAGGTCACAGGAGGAGCCAGCCATCTTCATCTTGCTGAACCTCGATTGCAGTTTTTCTAGCTAGCCTGGATAGCCCGCAAGTCCCAGTGACCCTCCTGTTTCCTCTCTCGGCCCCCAACACAGAGGTCACTGAGTGCAAGTCTAAATGTAGCTTTTTACATGGGCACTGGAGATCTGAACTCAGACTTATACAGCAAGCATTTTACTTAGTGAGCCACCTCCTCACCCAATAATGTTAATTTTTAAAATCCAACTTTAAAAATAAATTAGCCAACTAAATTATTTCTTATACTGAGATTAGAGAAAGGGGGCTGGGGGAGGGGAAGAACCCTGGTTCTGTTCTGAACCTCTGCACATATAATCATAATTGGAATCTTGTTGCTGGGTCGTTTTCATTGTTTTTCAAGTACTGCCAAGTCCTAGAAAATGTATGAAAACTAAATTATATCCCCTACATCCCATGTCTGATTGAATCCTCTCATTGCATGCCAGACTCATATATCCTATTAAAATATTCAATCTTGTTTTCTTACTTGAAGAGCCTGTCTGTAAAGGGCAAACTTATAGAAAACTCATTCCCTGGAGACAGGGTATCCAGCCACACTGGACTATTTACATATTTCACTATGTGATTGGCTGCTTCTGGGTTTCTTCTTTCCCTTGTATTTGTGAGTAAGTGCTCCGAGATGTGGTTCTTAATTACATAGCCGTGTTTTCAATTGAAGAAACAGATAAAGGTATTTCCCAGCTTCTTGGTTTCTCTTTAACCTTGAAAAGTTAAGCACTGTGTTAACCAGTTTGCTTTATTTCCTAGGACCGAGTTGTATCGATCTCTTTTCGGCCAGCTCAACCCTCCTGACATAGACCATGGGGACTGATGTCATCATCCTCTCACTCCAGACTACTGACCCCACCAGGACCCACGTGGCTGCTTCAAGGATAGATGACTTCAGAATGCAGCACCCAGCGTCCCTGGGAGGGTGTTCTTTGGGAGCACATACCTGTGTACAAAGCTCAGCCTCTGCATCAATTAACATCACAGACACTGGCAGGGATGGAGCCGTCCTCGGGGCTCAAGAGTACTGACTGCTCTTGCAGAGGACCCAGGTTCAGTTCCCAGCACCCACATCCAGGATCTCACAACAGCCTCTGACCCAGTTCCTGGGGGTGGGGATTCAGTGCCATCTTGTTAACTCTGTAATCTCCAGCACTCAGGTGTGTACACACCCCACTCAGTCATGCAATTAAAACTAAGAGACCTTTTAAAAGAAATATGTTGTGAGTTCTGCTAGAAGAAGTGGTTTAGAGTTAAACTGCACAGTGACACGCCTGTTGAAAGGGTTTGTATTTTTCTAGTTAAATGATCTACTCATACAGTATATAACTCCATTTCTTGCTGGGCGGTGGTGATGCATGATTTAATCAGAGGCAGGAGGAACTCTGTGAGTTTGAGGCTACCCTGGTCTAAAGAGCGAGTTCCAGAACAGCCAGGACTATGTGGAAACCCTGTCTCAAAAAACAAAAACAAAAGCCTTCTATTTCTTGTCCATTCATCCTTGAATGGACACTCAGGTTATTTCTATATCTGGACTGTTGTAAATGGTGCTGTGGTAACTGTTGGATCATCTGACCCTTACTGTTCTGACCCTCACTGTCCTGACCCTCACTGTTCTGACCCTCACTGTTCTGACCCTCACTGTTCTGACCCTCACTGTCCTGACCCTCACTGTTCTCTGACCCTCACTGTCCTGACCCTCACTGTCCTGACCTTTACTGTTCTGACCCTCACTGTTCTCTGACTCTCACTGTTCTCTGACTGACCCTCACTGTCCTGACCCTCACTGTTCTGACCCTCACTGTTCTGACCCTCACTGTCCTGACCCTCACTGTTCTCTGACCCTCAGTGTTCTCTGACCCTCACTGTCCTGACCCTCACTGTTCTGACCCTCACTGTCCTGACCCTCACTGTCCTGACCCTCACTGTTCTGACTCTCACTGTCCTGACCCTCACTGTTCTCTGATCCTCACTGTCCTGACCCTCACTGTTCTGACCCTCACTGTTCTCTGACTCTCACTGTTCTCTGACTCTCACTGTTCTCTGACCCTCACTGTCCTGACCCTCACTGTTCTGACCCTCACTGTCCTGACCCTCACTGTCCTGACCCTCACTGTCCTGACCCTCACTGTCCTGACCCTCACTGTCCTGACCCTCACTGTTCTCTGACCCTCAGTGTTCTCTGACCCTCACTGTCCTGACCCTCACTGTTCTGACCCTCACTGTCCTGACCCTCACTGTCCTGACCCTCACTGTTCTGACCCTCACTGTCCTGACTCTCACTGTCCTGACCCTCACTGTTCTCTGATCCTCACTGTCCTGACCCTCACTGTTCTGACCCTCACTGTCCTGACCCTCACTGTTCTGACCCTCACTGTTCTGACCCTCACTGTTCTCTGACTCTCACTGTTCTCTGACCCTCACTGTCCTGACCCTCACTGTCCTGACCCTCACTGTTCTGACTCTCACTGTACTGACTTTCACTGCTGATTTCCACTCCCTTTGATACTGGCAAAACAGACTTCTGAGGCAGATGGTGGTTCTGTTTTGTGTGTCCATGTGTGTTTGTGTGCTCGTGCAGTGCTCAGTACCTAGGACTTCACATGCTCTGTGTTCTGCTTTCCAGCCCCTTCTCGGTGTTTGGAAGAGCTGCTACTGCTGCCTCCTCCTCTTCTTCCCTCCTCCTCCTTTCTCCTTCCTCCTGATCCTCCTTCTGTGCTTTGGTGTTAGCCTGCATGTATGTCTGTGTGAAGGTGTCATGTCACCTGGAAATGGAGTGCAGACTGTTGTGAGTTGTCATGTGGGTGCTTGGAATTGAACTGGGTCTTGGAAAAGCAGCCTTTGCTCATAACTGCTGAGCCATCTCTAGCTCCAGCCCCTGAAGGGGCTTCCATGCTGTGCTTCATAATGGCTCCTCTAACTTTCACCTCCAAATGGTATTCAAGGCTCACTTGGTTGCTTTGCCAACATTTGTCACTACTTACCTTTGGTAAAAGCCATTTTACCAGGTGATGCCTCAGTGTGGTTTTTATTTGCGCTTGCCTAATAAGCAATTGCGTACAGCATTCTCTAGTGAACCTCTTGGCCATTTACATATCTTCTTTTGAGAAGTCTTTCAGTGTGGATGTTTGTTCTTTGCATGGATGGATGCATGTGTGCACAGAGGAATTCTGTCCAACTGTAAGCCAAGAAAGGAGTCTCTCCTCAGTGACAGCATGGATAAGCCTGGAGGACAGGTGAGTGAAGTAAGCCAGAAAGAGAAAGACAAAGATCTCAGCTGTAAGTAAAGTCTGACACAATTACCTCCCAGATGAAGAGTAGGATGGTGGCTGCCAGCAGCCAGGGGGGGACGGATGAGGATAGGGAGTTGCTGGTCATGGGGTATAAGGAGTTGTGTAGGCTGGTGGAGTGAGCTTTGAGGACCAGAATAATGGGAATAAATTCTAGATGTCTCATCACAAAAATGTGATCAGTGTGGCACTGGATCTGTCCAGGGCTCAGTTCAGCCACTTCATGCTGTGTACATCTAGAATGTCATGCTTTAGACCATGAATATATATGTAGGGAGAGATCTTACTAGGTACCTGTGGTGCTGATCACACCCATTTGGGTATGGCCACAGTGCATACATGGCATGTGGGATTTAGGCCTGAGGGGAGGACAGGCTCACTCTTGGGGTTCCAGTCGGGTCTTGGAGGGCAGTTGAGATTGGATGCTTGGAGCGCTGACCCTGGGTTATTGGTTTCTCATGTAAGTGATTTCTCCCCAATAAAGTTAACCTGTCATCCCTATCCCGTGTATGATAATTTTACTCCAACACAGGATTTTTCAGTGAAAAATAACAATTTGGGACACGGTGTAGTTCATTGGTAGAGCACTTGCCCAGCATAGAGGCCCTAGGTTCCATCTCTAGTACCAAATGCAAAATGTTAATTATTAAATCCGTGAAAGAAATACCTGTGCTGCTTTGGGTAGATGAGCACTGGCTTGTCAAACCCTGAGAGTACAGGGTCCCTACGCCCACAGCCGGCCCCTGAGGATCCCTACTTGACAAGTTTCCTGCTAGGGAGCAGGGAGACAATCCTGACTTTTCTCTTGTTGCCTCTTCCCAGCACTCAGCAGGAAGAAGCAGGGAGATCTCTGATTTCAAGGCTAGCCTGATCTACAGAGGGAGTTCTAAGATAGCCAGGGCTTTTTAGATAGGCCTTCCTACCCCCCAAATGAAAAATCCCTCAGGCCCTTCTGTCCCCATTGGACTTAGCTGGTGTAATCCGGCAGGAGGAGGTGGTTCACTTGTTTTCCATCCACAGGTCAAACACTGGAAATTAAATCCCCATGAGGGGGATTTATTGACCAGAAGAGATAATGGCTGCAAACCAGGGTTCAGGTTCAGTTAATAACCAGGCATCTTTAAAGTCAGGTTTGGATAGTGTAGCCCAGTGACAAAGTTTCTTGTACAGGATCCCACATGTGTTTTGGGACTGCTGCCTGGTACTAATGGGCCAAGCTCCAAGCAGAGAGTGTTGGGGAGTGTGTGCCACAGTTACGCTGTGGACGGAGCTGCTAGAGGGCAGGGCTTTCCATCTCTTCCTCATGGTGCCTCTGCACACCGATCCCAAGGCACCTTAAGCTTGGCTGTCAAGGAAATGCATAAATTTAGGCTGTCCCCAGAAATTCAAAAGGTAAGTCATCAGTAATCACATGCACAGGCCTTTTCCCAAATGGTCACTTTTTAAAATACGAGGTAGCCCAGGCAGTCCATCCTAGGACCATAGCCACTGCTCAATGAACAGTGTGGGCATTAGCTCGTGGGCAACTGATGGAACCCAGAAAGGAAGAAGGCTTAGACAGATCAAAATATCTGGAGCCCAGCAAGTTCAATTAAAGTGAGTTAGACAGACAGGAGAGATGGAACAAGAAGGGAGAGAATTCTCACTAAAAGGGAGATGTGCATTTTAAAATGCAGAAGACCACCCTCCTTCCAGCCAGGAATAAATTGGAAACTATTTTAATTGACACGGATCCTGCAATTCAGCTGTTACTAGAAAGGCAGATTAGTTGATAGATTTGCATTTTAATAAAACTAATACTTTACATTTGGTAGCTAATGCCGATTTCCAAATGAGCTGGGAAGTTATTGTGAGTTCCTATCCAAGCCCGCTGCAGTAGTGACTGAAGCATTCTTTTGGTGTGGGGTTTGCTGGTCTGATTTTTTGTCCAGCCTCCTGCTTCACACATCACTCATAAGCCATTGTCCTTCCCTGTCCAACAGTGTTCTCAGCAGGAACCACACATCAGAGACAGCTGCAGCACCTGCCAGCACAGGTCTGCCCAAGGATGGACAGAGTGGTAAGGCCAGCCAGCTTCTTGCCTCATTTTTAGATTAAGAAAATGAATAAAACTCATCTGTAATCCCATCACCCAAAAGTAACAGCTCCAGCCGCTGAGGATGGCACAGGCCTGAGGCAAAAGAATTGCAAGTTTGAGGCTAGTCTGATCTACAGACTCAGTGATAATGACTGGATGTTATTAGAACTAAATAATAATTACTATTGCATAAGTGAAGTCCTTCCCTGTCTTTGCCATGGGTAGGCGCACTCTTCCCCAACAGCCGTGACCCCCAATGGGAGTCGTGCTAGGCAGAAGATTTGGACCACCCACTTGATTTTTCTTTTGGATTGTTTGCAATTTTTTATTTGCACTTTTAAAATATTTGGGGTGGGGTGCAGCTCATCAGTCAGGTGTGTGTCCTACTGCATGTGTTTACCCTGCAGCAATGGAGTTGTGGGCTTGTGTCTTGAGCCCAGGGAATCCGTGAAGTAGTTTCCAGTGAGGATCAATTGGCTGCCTGTAAGGTACTTGGTCCCAGCAATCAGGCAGGAAGTCGTCCTCTCCCCAGCACGTCTAGATCCCTGTAATTGCTTCTAACTCCCTCTGCTCCCCTCACCACAGCTGCTCCAGCACCTTCAGCCTGCAAGTCAGGTAGCTCTCACCTCACTGGGGCTGCTCAGGCTGCTCTGCACTTGGTTTTGGTAGGTATTTCTTTACAAGGTGTCATCCAAGACCCCTTCCTCAATACCATGTGCAAACCAAGTGTCAGCAGAAGCCGTTGAGCCCACCTGCTGACTGCATATTGCCAGCTTAGGAAAACCCAGCTTCCCTCCTAGTAGGAATCCGAATGGGCAAGGGACCCAGAGATAAAACACCCAAGGTATAGGAAGACAAAAATACACTTTGAGAGGTGGAGGCAGGAAGATTAGGAGTTCAAGGCTAGCCTGGGTTGCAAGAGGCCCTGCCTCAAAAAACAGAGCTGGGCATAGTGGCACACACCTGTAATCCCAGCACTAGGGAGGCAGAGGCAAGTGGATCTCTGAGTTTGAAGCCAACCTGATCTACAGAGTGAATTCCAGGATAGCCTAGTCTACATAGTGAGTTCCGGGACAGGCAGGGCTACATAGTGACACCCTGACTCAAACAAACATAAAACAAAATGGAAACTGCATTAGAGAATTTGCAGAGCAGGAAGTGACAGCACACAAAACAGAAACACATCTGATAGGTGTGATGCTGACCAAAATATACAATCGTACTTAACTAGCCCCCCTTTTCAGTTCTCCCTACCATCTGGGGCCTGGAGACCAAACTGAGATTGTCAGGCTTGGCAGCTGGTGTCCTTACCCAGCCTGTGAAAGACAGGTGGCTCACATCTGAGACCCAGCACTGGCGAGGCTGCATCAGGGGAGTCATGAGTTCCAGGCCATCTTGGGCTACATTAAGATACTATCTCAAAAATGAGTAAGCAGGGGCTGGAGAGATGGCTCAGTGGTTAAGAGCACTGGCTGCTCTTCCAAAGGACTACGGTTCAATTCCTAGCACCCATGTGGAGGCTCACAGCTGTCTGCAACTTCAGTTCCAGAGAATCTGATGCCCTCTTCTGGTCTCTTTGGGCACCAGACACATATGTGATGCACAGATATACATGGAGACAAAACACACAAAATTTAAACAACAAAGTACATAGGGGGCGCAGACACATACGCAGGCGACACACACACACTAAGTAAATAAAGTCTAAAATCATAAAACATTAAATACTGTAAATAACCAACAGTACTGTGGTATTGCACAGTGGTTAGAGCTTAGCATGTACAAGGTCTTAAGTTTGAGTCCCAGTTCCAAGGGGAAAAGGCAGTATATCCTTTTATCCTGTGTGGACTGTTTATATCCAAGTGTATTTCTCAAAAGACAACACATGAAAAAATGTTCAACATTAATCATGAAGGAAATGCAAACCACAGCAAAAACTATGGTGATCCATTTCGGTAATCCCAGCACTCAGGAGGCAGAGGCAGGAGGATTACTGGGCGTTTCCAACCACCCTGGACTACATAGGAAGGCTCTGTCTCAAAAATGAAATAAATAATAAATAAAATCCCATAGCCAGAGATGGTGACAAGGGCCGAATCCCAGCCCAGAGTCAGGGAAAATCACCACAAATTGGAGGGTAGCCTACTCTACAGACCCTATCTTAAAAAATAAAAGAAGTAGCCGGGTGGTGATGGACCTTTAAATCCAGCACTTGGGAGGCAGAGGCAAATTCTGTGAGTTCGAGGCCAGCCTTGTCTACAAAGCAACTTCCACGACAGCAGTTTGAGGCCAGCCTGGTCTACAGAATTCCAGGACAGCCTGTCTACACAGAAAAACCCTGTCTTCCTCCAAAACAATACAGAAACCCTGTCTCAAAAAAAAGAAAAGAAAAAAGAAAGAAAGAAAAGAAAGAAAGAAAGAGAAAGAAAGAAAGAAAGAAAGAAAGAAAGAAAGAAAGAAAGAAAGAAAGAAAGAAAGAAAGAAAGAAAGAAAGAAAAAGAGAAACCCTGTCTTGAAAAGGCAAAAGAAAGTGCTTGGAGATGTTCAGCAGCTGGAGCTACAAGCTCCTCCAGGGATACGGGAGATGGGACAGGAGAACTTTCAGATGTTTCTAGGTCAGCTAGCCTGGCTTATACAGTGAGAAAATAACAGACGGTCTTGTCTCGACCAAAATGGGCAGCAGCCAGTGAGACTGTCCCTTCACACACATGCCATGTCGTGCATACATGCCCACAGTCACATACAGGAATACTCATAGTTACAAACATTAAAACAATAAGAAAACAGTAAAACTCACAAAACAAAAAGCCAGAACTTGGGAGACAGATTCAAGATAATTACCACACATTTAAGGCGAGGGATACATAGCAAGATCCCCGCCCCCCAAAGAAAGGAAAAGACTCAACCAAAGTTCATAACTGTGGCACATATGCGAGGTGGAATAGTATTCAACCATGAAAAGAACAAGCTCTGTGTCTTGTGACACTGTAGAGGGAGAACACTAAATCGGATGCAGGCAGCATGGCTGGGTCACACTCCTGTGGAGTCTAAGGATGTTGATCTTACATTTGAGAGCAGAGCAGTGATTACAGAGGCAGGGGAATTACAGAGCTGGGGAGGAAACAGTGTACACTGGTGATCTATGATATATTCTACAGAAGCTAAGAGAGAACAGAGTGTTCTCAAGCACAAAGCTATCTCTATGCTCACCCCAGTTGAGTGCTCCACGGTATACACACACTATCATGGTGAAACCTGTGTGCAGTTTTCATGTCTTTTTTTTCTTTTTGCGTGGGGGTTTTCAAGACAGGATCTCTCCTCTCTCTCTCTCCTCTCTCCCCCCTCTCTCTCTCCTCTCTCTCTCCTCTCCCCTCTCTCTCTCCTCTCTTTCTCCCCTCTCTCTCTCCTCTCTCTCCCCCTCTCT